TGCATCTGTGAAAAAAAATGTGGAAGATAAAATTTTAACTGCAAATTTTAATTTCCTAAAAGAAAAAAAAAGCATCATTTATTCTAAACATTTTAACTGTAACGGTTTCTTTAGGAAATTATAAATCTCAAGAAGTCTGCCCAGAGAGTATTTCTGATGGGAATTAATTTACCGAATGACTTCAGCTACTGAACTTCTGTTTATTTGGGGTATGATTATGAAACTAATTAAATAACTTTGTCCAGTATTTGAACTTCTACTGCTTCATACACCAGACTAAATACTTTGGGTCACATGACTTGAAAAATTACCTGATTTTGTGAAAGTATGCATACAAATGAATCAGAAAAATGACCCAACTATTAGAAAATGGATGCTTTACACATTCACATTTGAAGTTAAAAAGATAAAACAACATGCATTAGTGAATGAGCCTCACTTCTCTATTATCAAAACTACCTGCTCATATAATACCAAAATGTTTTCCCAGAATAAATTTATTCCCTGAATGGACCAAAAGACAAGACAATGAAAGCATTCATTTACAAATTTTTACAATTAATTATTTATTAAGTTGTATTAACTTTTAATTAACTTCTTATGCAAATGAAACACTTCTATAAATTTCTGTGGATAGCCTACTACCTTAATCTGTCTCCTAAAACTTTTCAAAGAAAATGTTTTCAGACAGAAACACATTTAATTGACCAAATTATAAGAAATAAAAAATATGAAGTGATAAAGTTAATAGAATACTGCCTTCCTCCTCTACCCCAGGCTGCTGCTACATAATATGCACAATTTAAGTGCTTGGGCCTATCATATTTTATATCATCATGAACGTACTATTGTCCTAGTGACAGCTGTTCCAATTACAAATGAGTTTGGGCAGCTAAGGGGACAATAAGCTATGTTCTTGGAAATGGCACTAAGAACATGAGGTGAGGGCAGAGCACTGCACAATTTACATTGTACTATATAAATTGCTTTAACATTCCTGTTATAATTCCTTTCTTTTATATCAAATCGCTCCAATTTTTAACAAAAGTAATGAGATAGTGTGAACATAGTTTAAATAAAACTATGATCAAAAATATAACAGCTAACTTTAAAAAATGCAGGCACTCACTCAATGGTTTATGTTTAGGATGACGTGGTATTTGAAATTTGCAACTGTCAAACAAGTTGCCTCTTGCAAGTGTACTTAATCTACCTGTCCAAATAAAATTAAGTTCCTTAAGTGAAACTGTAATACAGGAAGACTCACAAATATAGGGGATACAGTATGATGAGAGTAAGTCTAATAGTTTTGAAGATGTGCTTCAATTTTTCAAATTAAAAAAACACACACAATTAGCTATAAAGAGATGCACAGTTTTTAAGTAACCTACTGAAAGATTATTCTAAACTCTTCTTTTAAATTTACCGAAATTTCCACAAGGATAACGTGCTACTCAATATTGAGACACTGCAAAGTATTACAGAGGTAACAGGTCTTGATAAATGTAGTTTTGCTGTATTTTCTTCAAACAGTTCACTAGCCCTACTCAGAAGATTTTGTCAGCCCCAAAATAAAATAATCACGAAACACTACTGGTTCCTGATTCTTAAACAAAATTTAATTAGCAGATCACTTTAGCAGCTTTGACAGTCCCTAAGGAAAGGAACCCCTCCTGGGTGAGAACCCTGAAAGATGAGTTTTGAGAGCCTGAGAAGCAGTAGAATTGTCAGAATTATTTTCAATCACCAGTTACCTTACAGAGCTTCTGATACCGAGGAGAAGAAACTGCCATCCTTTGTAACCGATGTAACAAAACCACAACTTTCTGCAGAGACGTTCTCACCACAGCCATCATTTTAAGTTTACCACACTTCTGGAGACACCTCAGAATTTGCATTATAAATGAAGAGCAATGATCATTTCCTCCTGGTCACTGGACAATGATTTGCCAGTTCTCTGAGCATGCTCGTTTCCAGGAATGCATTTGAAAGATAACAGACGCTCAGGTTCTTGGCAAAAGGAGGCTGCTATGCCTTCAACTTCTTCTCAATTTAAAAAGCGTATGCAGACGCCACCCAGAAAGCCCCCCAGCAGATGCTCCCAACCAGTACTTGCTCAGCCGGGCATGGCCAGGAAACGAAGCAAGTTGAGCAGCCAAACGCTGCCTGCTGCTGGAGAGAAGCGCGCTCAGTAGCCAAAAAGGATATTAAGTGAAACATTAAAGCTGCAGATACGAGGCAGACACCCCCTGGGAACAGAGATTCAACACATCACCACCGCGGTGCATGCCTCCTAGCGGGTTTGTATTAAGAGATCAAGTAGCATTCACTCTCTCACTGTAAAGAGGGATGCATTCACCACCGGACTAAACACAGCTCTGGCCGTGCTCTGCGCGATGAGTGAATAGACTCTGTTATAAATCTTGAGAAGAGCAGAAGGGACCT